CCGGCCCGCGCCCAGCCCCGCCTCACCTCGGCGGCGACCCCTCGACGCCTCGGCGCGCGATCACGGGTGGCGCGGCGCGGGGAGACGGGGCTAAGCCACTGGGACCATCCGCACGGGAGACCGCGGAAAGCCGCCCCACGACCGCGACGCGCGCAGGCTGTGCGCACGCGCGGACACGCCCACTTGCGCGCGTCACGGTGGGCGGGGCGGAGAGACCCCGCCCCCGGCCTGGGCCCGCCCTCCCCGCTTGGCGCCCGCCCCCTCGGCCTCGCCCCGCCCCTTTGGCCTGGTGCCTTGAGTCCTGGCCCCGGCGGAGGGCCGGCTCGCGGCGTTCGTGCCACCGGGGGCGGCCCGCGAAGCCGGTACCTGCCTGGCCTGGGGCCTGCATTGCTAAAGGCTCTCCCGGTCCCAAGGCAGGTGCGCCCTTCCCCAGCCTGGACATCCTCTCGGCCCTGCCCCGCTGGGCAAGCCTGTCGGGTCCTCTCCAGCCGCGCTGCGCTCCGCGCCCTGCGCGTCCGGTCTGTTACCGCAAGCAGCAGCCCGGCCTCCGCGGGCCCCCCGCGGGCCTTCTTCGCCCGGTTCAGGGCCTGGCCCAGTGTTCCGGACCCCAGGGCGGATGGGGGCAGGGGACGTGGGGTCGGAAGCCCCCCCTCGCGCCCCCAGCTCCGCCCCAGCCTACACCCAGCTGCTGGCACCCAGCTAGGGTGGGTGCGGGCGGAGGGGTCTTGTTTTGGTGGAGAGCTGCTGTCTGAGGACGAGCCCCCAGCAGTCAGAGGCGGAGGCGCCTCCCCCTGCTCGGAGACACCTTGTTTTGGGCGGGACCCTGGAACTTGGCGCCGGCCGAAGCTGGTGTGTCAGTTAAGGGGGCCTGACAGCCTTTCCCGGGGGTGGATTCTCCCCGTGGAGATTCTGGTCATCTTCGGCTCATCTCCGCTTTTCACACCGGCGCTGGGGAGCCTCTCCCCGAGAGAGGGGAAGTTGGCCGCTCAGGAAGTCCGGCCTCTTTGCGCCCAAGGCCCTAGGCACTTCCTTCCCTGAAGTTGACCGGGTTTGGGGCATCTGTGGGGCAGCACCGTCAGGAGGGCTTCAGGGACAAGCGGGCGAGCAACCCCCCACACCCCTTTCTGCTACCCCCTCCTCATCCTCACACTCCACAAGAACCCCTACAGAATTCCTGGGCCTCAGTCCAACCCCGTCATTTAGCAGTAGGGAAACTGAGACCCCAGGCCGGAGGGGGCTGGATGCCCCTGGCTGTGACCCTTTACCAGGCTGGGATGGGGATGAGGCTGCAGACCTTCTGATTGCCACCCAGCTTGGACAGCGCTGTGGCCGAGTTGGGGGGCGTGGGTTTGGAGTTCCTGACGCAAGTTAGGGGCAGCTTCTGCTCTCCTTACTTTCCTTCTCCACCTCCATCTCTTCCTGGAGTCCCCGGAGGGGGTAGTGGGGGAGGCACAGGCCACCCATCTACTGGGAAGAGGGCATTCCAGGGACTCTCCTAGCCACTCATCCAGCTGGAATTTCCTTGGGCTTCCCAAATAACCATGCGGTATGCAGGGCGTTTAACTGGGTCCCACACAGGAGCAAGATGTAATGGCTGTGCAGGAGGCACCCATCGACTTGCTCACAGGGCGCCCAGGAGCCTGTTCAACTTCCAATCAAAGTCCTGCCCACCACCTGTGGGGCTAATTCTGGATCATACACTAAGTGTGATCTTAGCACAAACCAAATTTAATTCTTTAGGGACATCCCCCCACCAGAGCCCCAGCCTGGTGGGGGTCAGGTCATCAGCCCATTTGCTCTCCGTGGCCCGGCTACTCCCTCAGCTCTGCTCAGGGCTCCTGGAGCTTGCTGGGCAGTGGCACAGGGGGCAGCGTCTCCCCTTCTGGCCCCGTTCCTCCCCATGGTTAGCCTGGGATGGGGAGAGACAGAGCACCCCAACTCAGCAGATGAACATGCACTCACCCAGCCCGAGGTAGGCTTGGCATCCGCCCTGCTCACCTACACCAGGGATGCACCATGGGCTAACTATTGAAGAGAAGGAAACTTCAGCCATGATGTTTTCACTGAGGAAGTCTACCAAACATTTAAAGAAAAATAACACAGATTCTAAAGACTCTTTTTCAGAAAACAGAGAACACTTCCGAACTCATGATGTCAGCATCATCCTGACACTAAACCCAGAAAGGGAATAAAACTATGAAACTACAGATGCTGCTGCTCATGAAACCAGACACAGATTTCTCAACAAAAAATTAGCAAATCTAATCCAGCAATATTAAAATAAGTAATACACCACAAACAAGTAGGGTTTATTCTGGGAATGCAAGGCTGTATAAACATTCAGAAATCAATTAGTATATTAAAAGCTTAAAGAAAAAAAAGCTATATACTCATATTAAATGATGGAGAACAAGCATTTGACAAAATTCAACATCCATTCATGATAACAACTCTCAGCAAACTAGGAATAAAAGGAATTTCTTCAATCTAATTAAGAGCATCTCTGAGGCGCCTACAGCCAACTTCCTGCTTAACTGTGAAAGACTGACCCTCTCACACTGGGAACAAGGCAGGGATGTCTCAATACTCTTATTCAATATCATACTGGAAGTTTTAACAGTACAATAAAGCAAGAAAAGTAAACAAAAAGGAGTACAGACTGGGAATGTAGAATAAAACTCTGTCTTAGTCATCTAGTGCTGCTATAACAGAAATATCACAAGTGGATGGCTTCAACAAACAGAAGTTTATTCTCTCACAGTCTAGTAGGCTAGAAGTCCAAATTCAGGGCGTCTTCTCCAGAGAAGGCTTTTCCTCTCTGTTGGCTCTGGAGGAAGGACCTTGTCATCAATCGTCCCCTGGTCTAGGAGCTTCTCCGTGCAGGAACCTCGAGTCCAAAGGACACGCTCTGCTCCCGGCACTGCTTTCTGTGGTATGAGGTCTCCATGTCTCTCTGCTCGTTTCTGTCTTTTATATCCCAAAAGAGATTGGCTCAAGACACAATCCAATCTTGTAGATTGATTCCCACCTCATTAACATAACTGCTGTTAATCCCTTCTCATCAACATCATAGAGGTAAGACTTACAACCCATAGGAAAATCACATCAGATAACAAATGGTGGACAATCACATAATACTGGGAATTGTGGCCTAGTCAAATTAATACACATATTTTGGGGGGACACAATTCAATCCATGACATTGTCTTTATTCATAGATAACATCATTGCCCATGTAGAAAATCGCAAACCAAAAAAGCCCAGTTGCCATCAAATTGATTCTGACTCATGGTGACCCCACATGTACAAAGTAAAACTGTGCTCCATAGGGTTTTCAATGGGTGAATTTGAACCACCAACCTTTCAGTTAGTAGCCGAGCACTTAACCATTTGCACCACCCAGGGACTCCAGATAATCCTAAGGAGTCTGCAAAAAAGTTAAAAAATAAGTGAGGTTAGCAAGATTGCAAGATGTAAGTTCAACACACAAAAATTAGTCATATTTCCATCCAAACTCCCTGGGGGACTGAATTGCTGGGCGGAGGGCTGTGGGGACCATGGTGTCGGGGAACATCTAGGTCAACTGGCATAACACAGTTTATAAAGGCAATGTTCTACATTCTGCCTTGGTGAGTAGCGTCTGGGGTCTTAAAAGCCTGTGAGCAGCCATCTAAGATACTTCACTGGTCTCATCCCTTCGGGAGCAAGGGAGTGTGAGAGAACAGGATACAAGGGAAAGATTAGTCCGAAGGACTAATGGACCACAGCTACCAAGGCCTCCACCATACTGAGTCCAGTACAGCTAGATGGTGCCCGGCTACCACCACTGACTGCTGTGGCCAGGATCACATCAGAGGGTTCTGGACAGAGCTGGAGAAGGATGTAGAACAAAATTCTAACAAAAAAAAAAAAGAGCAGATTTACTGGCCTAAAGGAGACTGGAGAAACCCCGAGAGTATAGCCCCCAGACACCCTTTTAGCTCAGTGGCGAAGTCACCTCCGAGGTTCACCATTCAGCCAGGGAGTGGACAGCCCCATAAAAACAAATGGGACTAATGAGGTACAGCAGTCCAGGGACAAGGATTAGAAGGCGGAAGGGGTCAGGAAAGCTGGTGATAGGGAACCCAGGGTTGAGGAGGGATAGTGTTGATGTGAGGTTGTTAACCATTGTCATACGGCAACATGTGTACTAACTGTTTAATGAGAAACTATTTTGTTCTGTAAACCTTCATCTAAAGTGAGAATAGCAGCACAATTGGAAGAGTGTAGTTGATGTCACTGAACTGTGCATGTAGAAATTTTTGAAACGGTATCTCTTTGGGTATGTATATTTTCACCAAAAAAAAAAGTCGAGAAGGGAGAGGGTTGACATGTCGTGGGGTTGTTAACCAATGTCATAAAACAATATGTGTACTACAGTTTCATGAGAAACTGTAGGTTCTGTAAACCTTCACCTGAAGTACAATTTTAAAAAGTCATATTTCTATATACTAGCAATGTACAGGTAGAAGCCGAAATGAAAACAAAAATTTACAGTTGCCCCTCTTCCCTCTCCAGTGAAACACTTAAGTATAAATCTAACAAAACATGTAAGAATCTGTAGGATGAAAACAAAAACACTGATGAAAGAAATCAAAGATGGCCTAAGTAAGTGGAGAGACATACTGTGTTTATGGATTGGAGACGCAACACAGGAAAGACATTAATTTTCCCTGAACTGTTTGTAGATTTAATGTGATTCCAATCAAAATCCCATCAAAATTCTTTGAAGATACAGACTAAAACAATTTTGAAAAATAAGAATATAGAGAATCACACTTCCTGATTTTGAGACTTCCTATGCACGTGCAATAACTGCAGTGGGACAGAAAAATCCCCACACAAATATGACCGACTGAGCTTTGACAAAGGCACGAAAGCGATTTGATGGAGAAGGACGGTGTTCCCAACACACGGTGCCGGAAGAATTGGACATCTGTATGCAAAAAAAAAAAAAAAAGAACCTCGACCAAAACCTCACATCATATACAAAAATTAACTCAAAATGGATTATAGATCTAAATGTAAAATGTAAAACCAAAAAACTTCTAGAAGAAAATATAGGAAAAAATCTCTGTGACCTGGGGTTAAGCAAGCATGATCCATATATTTTTTAAATTGA